ACCATTAAATGCCCTCTGAAATGGTTACCATTAAATGCCCTCTGAAATGGTTACCATTAAATACCCTCTGAAATGGTGGCCAAGCCACTCAGTTCAAGTGTAACAATTATCATATGCTAGGCATTCTGTGACAGCCACGCCCATGAAAGATTTAAAAAGAGAAAGGACAAAGGTCAAACCTGACAGCAGTCAGGCCAAAGGTAGTCAGAGAAAAGAATGAAATAAGAAATGCTGATTAGGTGAGGGCAACCTTGGAATTTAAATATCTGTCGATAGTAGTCAAATAGAAAGCTGGGAGATGCAAGATTTGGACGTCTTGGAAAATAATGACTCAGACATGATGTGATGACTCTTTACAATTATTAATTTTGGGGAATAATTAAATTCTTCTCATACAGTCTGCAAAGTCATTTCACATGGGCACCTGAGGTATCAAATCATTGCTGTGTTTCACTGCCAATGCTTCTCTGAATGTACTTTTCACAGAGCACTGAAGAAGGCCATTTGGACACCATGTCTTTGCCAGTTCTTTGTTGAGGTCTATCCAATCAGTCTCACTACCCCAAAACTCTGCATTTTTATTTAAATTCCAAGTATTTTGAAAGTTAATACGGAATTTGCACCCTTCAAACCAATCCACCTCCCTGAGCTGAAATAAATTCCCAATGTATCCTTTCTCTGGACATCACCCCCACTTTCCTCAGTCTTCTCCCTATGGAGTACAGTTTTGAAATCCAATGACTGTCATTGCTGGGAATTGTCTTGGTTATCTTACCTAGACTATTATTGACTGGTCTTTTTGACATCGATAGTCTAATAATTCATCCAAGCTTCTCAATACAACAAAAGCTACTAATTTATTCTCATTTAATGTTGTTGTCCCTGGTCCTTTTCTTTACACTTGTCCTCATACTTACAGCCTAAGGACAGACTTGTCCAGAGTAATAACAATGTATAGTAAAATCTTTCTTATCCAGCATGCATGGAAATGGATAGTGCTGGTCAATAAAAAAAATAGAAAAAATGTAAACGAGTTACATTTACCTGTGGAATCAAGCATCATACTTGTAGCATGAGCTTTCAAGGAATAAGTTCAAAAGAAATGCATGTAGCCAGGAAGTAAAGAACAGTAATCTTTAGAATTCTAATCTACAACAGTACATTAAAGCATGAATTAAAATATAACAATGCAGGCTACGGGATACTCAAGAGGAAATAATGCTAATAATCTCTTAGAACCATCCCTGATGATGTAAAATTTGTAGGCGATCGGATCCTAGTACAAACCCTGGAAGCTATATCAAACATGTCAGCTTGCTGATTTGCTTATTGATTTTTCCATGTAAGTTGAGTGCAGAATGTACAGTTGTGAAACTTGTTGTGCTAAGTAATAAATCTTGCCTTAAGCAAGTTTAATCAACGCATATAAAGCTAAAGTGACATCAGCTCGAGTTATTTTCTTCTCTTCACCAAAATCATCATTTTCAGACTTTTTTTCAGTCCCTTCAGATTTTGAGGGTTCACAACATTCTTCATTATTTCTGCATCATTAACAGTATGTATCACTTCAGCCCCCTTGACAGCCCACTCTTCTAGCTCAACAACACGAAGTTTGCTGAATGGATAATCATTCACCATTTCCATAATTTCATAGGAGTGAGGCTGTAAGGAGGTCAGGAGCTTGGTGGCTTCAGTGGATTCCAAACTGAGTGTCAGTGACAAGGTTATTGTTGAGTAAGTGTTGATGACACCTTCCAGCATTTTACTGATGATTGAAAGTAGACTAACGGGTAGCAGTTGGCCAGGGTTGATTTGTCCTGTTTTTGTTGTGAACAGCACACTGCCACTGTTGTAACTGTGCTGGAACAGCTTGGCTAGGGCGTATCTAGTTCTGGAGCACATTGTCAGGAATATTGTTGGGATGTTTTCAGAGCCAATTCTTCCAAGGTGGCATGATTCCTTCACTCATCCTCCCTACTGTCCCCACTCTTGTCCACACAGCTTGCAAAAACCTCATAACTGTTAGAGAATTGCAGGGGCCGAAGGTCCTCCATTACAAACCCTGAGTCCTGATACCTGTCTCCTCTCCCTTTCTGAGCACAAACCAATTTTAAGTTACCTAATCTGTGGAGTGTGAACACATTCCCATTCCCTGATGTGGTGCTATGTCTGCAGCTCAGATTCCAGCTCCTCATCTTGGATCTAAGGCATCTCAAACCGCAAACACCGTACATATGGATCATATTGGTGTCCAGCAGCTTCCACGTGCTGTAGCAGCAACACATCCTCTGTCCTGCCATCACTACTGCATTTATTTACTTTATAAATTAATGACTCTAGATTTCATTATCTTTACACATAACTGTAATATTTTGCTTTTATTAAGGAGCCACCAGTAACAATCTTATTGTAAAGTAGCTAAATTTAAGAGAGAGAAGAAAAAAAGTCTAAATACAAATTGAAGACCTCATGTTTGCTTTAAATACTAGGAATATTCACCAGTTGTACTCACTCATCAACTATTTTCTGCTCTGCTTCTCATCTCCACTTTTCTTTTGTTTATTGAATGCCACAATGGCAGGATTGGTCTCTATACTTTTCACACTGAAAAAAACTAAAGATTTCATTAGTAGCTACCAATGAGAAGAGTAGCCCCACCTCTACTACAATTTTCCCGAGCTGTATTGAGTTATCTGGTGAATCTTCAGGTTCTGAATGTCTCCTGATCGAAAAGTGATGATTGACATCAGGAGAATATCAGAAATTCTGATTCAGAAAGAATTCCCATTCAGGATCCCCATTTGAAGCTTTTAAATCTCAACAAATGCTCAGCCCGTTATAAAAACAAACTTATATTCAGTGTGCAAATCAAAACAGCTAATCCTTTAGCAATCTCTTTAAACTCTCAATCAAAACTGAACTCCGATTCTCCTGCTTTGAAAAGTACTTATGTGACCTTTGAAACCTGATTAAACATTCATAATGACCTCAACCATAATAACAACTCTTGGGAAAGGTCAACCAAGAATTCTTACTGAAATGTGAATCAGGTGGACGTGCTTTTTGCTTTAGGTTAAGGGTTCTCATGGCACATTATCAGTGTCCCAATGCCCAGCTTCAAGTCCCATCTGCTCCAGAGGTGTGTCATTTCATCCCTGAACAGATTAAGTAGAAAACACCGAAACCAATTGGCTTGCTAATCAATGTAGTCCAGCAGATTTTTTTTTGTTTTAGAACTCTGGCAGGTTTTAAGACTTTTTTTCTTCAAGTTTGAAGATCTGGGGACTTTAAAGAAATTCAGATCCTGACACTTAAGCAGATCTTATCTGCCTTACTGATGTTTATATGTCTACTTTATTGACTTGTGACTTTACATGACGCTACAGGCTAAGAGCTTTAACGTGGGTGAAATGGGGTCTCTTTGACTCGACACTATTTTAAAATGGCTTCGCAGAGTTTGGGTTTCCCATTCAAGACTTCCACTTCCCGTCCCTTCCATTCCCTGCAGAAAATTGGTTGCATTGGAAATAGAGGTGGATTTCTGCAGTCAGGACCAGCTTCCCATTTTTAAAGGTCTCCGGATTTGGTCCAGCTCCGTGAAAATCCGGCCCTTAGTTTCTGACTCCCAGTGACCTCCAGGTAAAAGAAAGTCCCCTTCACTTTCCCTCTGACCCTTCCACTGATTATTAACCACTCCACTAATGGAAATAGAACCTATCATCCACCCTCTCTTGGGCCCTCATAATCCTTAATTAAATCGTTCTCTGCTTTCCTTTTTGGCTAAGGATACTGTGTCAGTGTATGTAGTGTTTTTTCATGGCTAAAATTCTTCAGTCCTGGCAGCACCTCTGTAACCTGGCCAGTGCCATCAGATTGTTCCTGTATTGCGTTAGACCAGAATTATGTCCAGTACTGTAGCTGAGCCCTGCCTACTGTTCTGTACAATTTTAGCATAACGTTTCTGTCTTTTATATTCCAAATTGCAATTGAAAATGGAATGTATTTCATATGACTTAAATATTGACTTCTATGGACTTGGGAAATGGTGAAACATTTTTGGGTTTAGCAAATGAGAAGTGATCGGAAGTTTAACCTATTATTTAGTAATGAGTGTTTTTGCTTTTATTAGCCAATGCAGATTTTATTTGCTGGGGAGGCCACTCACAGAAAGTACTACTCAACGACACATGGTGCTCTGCTTTCTGGGGAGCGAGAAGCTGCACGTCTCATAGAAATGTATCAAGACCTCTACCAAGGCAAGGGCACAAAGTTCGAAAACTAACAAATCACTTACTATTGAGACCTTGTACGGACTGGACTAAAAATGTGTTCAATGTACTATTTCTTAAAATGCAACATTATAATCTTGGTTAATAAGGGGTATGTTTGAATCATTTTAAAGTGGGTTTGTCTATTTCTAACACATTCTGCTAAAGCTTCGACCATGCAAATGTTTACACTCCAGTACTGTTTTAATTTCTAAATTAATGTATTTCTAACCTCATTTTGATTTTCTGCATCATAAGTGCCTCCTTGTGTTGTTGTTGGTATAATAAAATGATGGGTGTAACAGGGCAGCAGAGGGTGTTAGGGAACTTATCTCTGGAGCTGAGATGGTGAGAAAGGCCCCAGGTTGCAGCTATCTGAAGGTGTTCTGAAAATTGCTGATGTGTGTTTCTCTGCCTCTTGCTATTAGATACTACAGTCATTAAATAAGGCACCATCTTTTATCAGTGGTTCAAGGATAGTATGTTTGCTTCTGGTTTGGATGATTGTGAGTTCAAGCCCCACTCTACGAGCTAACACATCACAGTTCAGTCTGATACTCTTGCATAGTGCTAAATATTATTGAAGGTTTCACCTTTTTGGATAAGATGAGTTGCAAGCAGCTATGAAAGGTCCCATGTCATTTCATTGAGAAACAGGAAACTAGGGAATTATAGACATACTCACATTGGCAGGTTGTTACATGTATCTCTCATGGATATGTACTGGGGCCTTTTAGTATATTTATACATGACTTGGATGAAGGAATAGACAGCAGTATATGCAAGTTTGTTGATGATACCAAGTTAGATGGCCCAGTAAATAAAATACGTGGAAGCAGAAAATTGTATAGGGGCATTGATAGATTAAATGAATGGCCAAAACAAGTACATTTTAATCTAAGAAGTGAAGATCACTCAGCTGGTACTTAGGGAAGATAACTCAGTGTATTTTCTAGTGAGAAGCCAACAGCTGTGGAACACAAATTTAAAGTTATGTGTACAAAACCACTAAGAACTAATGGACATTGAGAAAACTTAACTTCAAAAATAAGTGAACATTTAGCTTTATCCCAAGGAAACGAATGTTGTATGACACTTATAAAAAAACACTAGTTAGACCCTGTTAAAAGTACAGCATTAATCCTGAATACCTCACTTGGGAAGTGTTAGCAGAACTGCAGCGTAGATTCACCAGAATGACATTTCACTGTAATAGTAAACATTTGGAGAGAGGGTGCTGTAGGCTAGGCTTTTATTCTCTCAAGTATAGAAGTGTAAAGGCTAATGTTTAATATGATTATTGGGGCGGATAAAGAAAATGATTTCCTCTGATAGTGGAGTCCAGAACCAGGGCAAAATCCTAAAGCAGAGCTAGACTTCTCAAGGACTTTCAGGAAGATCTTCTTCATATTAAAGCTGTGAAGATCTAGAACTGTCCTTTTAAGAGCTATTGAGTCTAATCCAATTGAAAATCAATTTAAAATCGATTAAGATTTTTTTAGGTAAAACTATAAAAGAATAGGAAATCAAGATAGTGTTACAGATAATTTGAGACACACAAAAAAAATTGCAATAGCTGTAAGGTATGCTGGGGTGCCTTGAAGTCATGAAAGGGAATCTATAAATGCAAGTTCTTTCTCTCTCTCCCTGAACCACTGCTGCCCTATAACCTTTGGCTATAAATATCTTAATTGGTATGGGGGCAGGGAGAAGATTGATGCACACCAACAGCATAATCTGGGCTGGCAGTATATTGCAACATTGCTAATTTCTTTCTCCATTGTACGTGGCCTGGAGCTGGCTGCCAAATCACTGTTGTCTGTTTTGTGCCATGGAGAGATCAGTTCCACCCCCTGCATTGTCTTGGACAAGGCTGTCGGAAGCTCTGTAGTCTATCAATGAATATCAGGGAAGAGATTCAATTACATGTTTTCTCATACATTCAAAAGATTGCAATTTTCTTCCTTCAGATTGTCCCAACTCATGAAATCATTGACTACCTTTAACAGACATAACCACATGATTATGTACATACATGTTGCGTATTGCTGGCACTCCCTCTATCACCCATTGTAACTGTTGAAATAAACATTGATGTAATGTGGAAAGAAATTGAACGTGGCACTATCAATATCTTAAAACTTTTATGTTTACTTAATTTAATGACTGGCTACAATCCAGTGTTACTGTGACCTGCTTGTCTTTCTTTTAATTTGATAATATCATACTTTGCCTAATTACTACAGTTTTGTTGCCATGCGTTTATGTTGCAATTATATTTTTCTTTTATATGGAGAGAATGTGGTAAACAAATGTGCTTAAGGATTGCTTAAAGATGCAGATCAGCCATGGCATTGGACAGGCCAATGGCAAAAGTAATTACAATTTTTAAGAAATGTTAAATATTGCACACAAGTCCAAATAATATGAGGTCCAACTATTCGATAAATAAAACTGAATTAACACAGTTCCATTTTGTAACTTGTCTTTTTATTTAAAGTTCTTTTGATTGTGCAGATTACAAAGAACAACAATGCCCAGTTTGATGAGTTTATATTCTTAAAGCTAGATACTTGTTCTTAGGTGGCAGGCTCTTTTTTTTTGGGATGTGGGCATTGCTGGATGGGTCAGTATTTATTACCCTTGAACTGTGTGATTGGCTCAGGGGACAGTTCAGAGTCAATCACTTTACTATGGGTCTGCAGTGACAATTAGGCCAGACCAGGTGAGGATGGTAGAGTTTTGTTCTGTAAAGGACAGTGGTGAGCCAGATGGGTTGTCATGACAATTGGCAATGAGCCATCATTAGACGAGGGAGTTCAGATTTTTCAACTGAATTCAAATTTTACCATGCAAATCCATGTCCCCAAAGTATTAGCCTGGGTCTCTGAATTACAGTGACAATACCACAGTGCCAATGCGAACCCTGGAGAAGGTAGTGGGGAGTTGCCTTCTGGAACTATGAAGGGGATTCTAGGATTTTGAAGCAGCAACAGTGAAGGAACGAGCAACATAGTTCAGGATGGTGTGTGACCTGGAAGGGAGCCTCCACGTGGTGGTCTTCCTATATAGCTGCTGTCTTTATCCTTCTAGGTGGGAAAACAAGGCAAAATAGGTAATTTAGTGAATCTATTCAGACCTGACACAGCCCTGGAGCAGGTGGAACTTCAACCTGGGTCTTCTGGTCCAAAGATAGAGACATGGTGATGGACTACAACATAGTAATCTAAATAAACAGTTTATGGGCTAATTAGTGCCAATTTGTGTGTCTCATGTCTCATGCTGCTTATCCTGTTCATAAGGGTTCAGATTTCCTGGGGGACTATTCATTCACATCCTGATTCACTGATCCACCTGAGAGTCTGTCTCACATTCTTGTGATGGGGAAAAGACTGGGGTAATGAAGATCCAAGACTCAAAATTAGAAGCAAAAGCAGAAATTGCTGAAGAAGGTCACTGAACCTGAAACATTAAAACTCTGCTTTCTTCTGCACAGATGCTGCCAGACCTGCTGATTTTTCTCCAGCTTTTTTTTTGTTTCTGATTTACAGCATCCACAGTTCTTTGGTTTTACTTTCTTAAAATCAGAAGTTTTTATTCCAAGGCTGAAAGAGAGAGGGAGCATTAGAAGTGACAGACCAAAATGAAATCTATCAGAGAAAAATAAACATATGCTGCTTTTTCTGTTTTGCCATGTTTTTTAGTAGTACGTTTCCTATTTAACAGTATTCTGAATTAGCATTCCACATTCTGGAGAGCCAACTCCCCAGAGATATTATTAATGAACAACTCTACTCCTGCACATTTCTTTCTTCAGAGATAGTAGGAACTGCAGATGCTGGAGAATCTGAGATAACAAGGTGTAGAGCTGGATGAACACAGCAGGCCAAGCAGCATCAGAGGAACAGGAAGGCTGATGTTTCAGGCCGAGACCCTTCTTCAGAAATGGGGG